GCAGTAGGAGATGGCATGACAGATGACACCGAGGCATTCAAGATGGCATGGGACTCAGCTTGTCAAGCAGATTCTGCAGTCATCCTTGCTCCCTCTGGTTTCTCCTTCATGATTCAGCCCACAATCTTCACAGGTCCTTGTGAAGGTAGACTAGTGTTTCAGGTAATGTGCTTGGCTATATATGCTGCCTGTTCATCTTATTTTTCTTGCCCTTCCAGACTGACAGGGATATGAATAATGGTGTATGTACTTTCTGAGAAGGTTGATGGTACTCTTATGCCTCCAGACGGACCAGATTCGTGGCCAACGAATAAAAGTAGGCACCAGTGGCTGGTGTTCTTTAGAATCAATGAGATGTCACTGCAAGGAGGTGGTGTAATAGATGGTAGAGGACAAAAATGGTGGGATCTTCCCTGTAAGCTCCACAAGGTACCTTGCTGACTTCACTATTGAAACACTGTAACATGTACTCAACCACTTGGAATTTCCTACTAATCACTTTCTGGCGCAGGGAATAAATGGAACCAGAGTCCCTGGACCTTGTGATAGTCCAATTGCCATAAGATTCTTCGTGAGCTCAAACTTGACAGTTCAAGGACTTAGAATTAAGGACAGCCCTCAGTTCCACTTCAGATTTGATAATTGTGTAAATGTTCATGTAGAATCTCTACATATTACAACTCCTGCCCTTAGTCCCAACACAGATGGAATCCATGTTGAGAACACAAGTGGTGTCGAAATATATGACTCAGTTATCTCCAGCGGTAAAATAAAAAATCCCATAAGTCTTCTGAATTTTCACGAAAAGATCATGTAGTTAATTTCCGTTGATCTTTCTTCAGGTGATGACTGTATATCGATTGGATCGGGTTGCCGTGATGTCGACATAAGGAACCTCACTTGTGGACCTGGACATGGAATCAGGTACTTGGTCTTAATCAATGGTCTGTACAGAATTTGTCAACTTTCCCCGTATATGAATCTCTAATTCTCCTTTTCCTCCTTCAGCATTGGAAGTCTTGGCAATCACAATTCGAGAGCCTGTGTTTCAAATATCACAGTAAGAGACTCAGTGATCAAAGTTTCAGATAATGGAGTCAGGATCAAGACATGGCAAGGAGGATCTGGAGCAGTTTCAGGGGTAACATTCAGCAACATTCACATGGTGGCTGTCAGGAATCCTCTCATTATTGATCAGTTCTACTGCCTCACCAAGGAATGCACAAACCAGACATCAGCAGTTTCTGTATCAGACATTATTTATGAAAGCATAAAAGGAACCTATGACATCCGAAGCCCACCAATGCGTTTTGCCTGTAGTGATTCTGTTCCATGCACCAACATAACCCTGTCTGATATTGAGCTCCTCCCAGCTCAGGGAGACATAGTGCACGACCCTTTTTGCTGGAATGCTTATGGCGAATTGCAGACGCTGACCATTCCACCAGTTTCTTGCTTAATGGAAGGCACTCCTCGATCCCTCTTGGATGATAACATGGAGTCCTGCTAATGCCCTGAATTAATCAGTATAATCAGTTTCAACTTTCAACATATATGTGTACATAAAAGTTGAATTACAGAGTGGAGTCATGGATGTATCATGATTGTTATTAATACTAATTGCCATATTGTTATGGACTAAGTTTCGGTATCAACATCAATGCCAGAAATGATCCATGAAATGAAGGATTGAATAAATAAAAGACGGACACAAACACTTGGAACATTACTTATTAACACATAATATAATCACAACTTGAAGGCCGCATTTGACAAAATCAACAGTAACCAAACATATATTATTTATTTATTTATCTGAATTAGAACGTGCAAGTGTTTGCAAAGGCAAGCAAAGCAGAATCAGACAGAGAGTACGTAATTAGGGAATAATTGGAAAAATGAAGCAACGAATTATGAAAACAATTCAAGATGATTCTGCCGATCCCTCCCTCCCAGCACTAACTTTAATGTTGGGTGGTGAAGGCTGAAGTGGCCCATGTCCCAAGCATGCGCAGCTTCTGCTACAACTATAATGAATAATAAATAGGGTTCATAAAATGAGTAGAATGTAGTAGGCTTACATGCCCTGAAAAAGTACCAGTCGGTGCACGTGCTAGGCTCTAATGCTCAATGCACCCCCACCAAACTATTAGAATATGCAATGTTAAACAAATCCCTATGAGAATTGGAGCCACAAACTCACTCTCTTTAGAACAAGATTATTTTAACAACGCTCCTTAATGGGCATTACAGATTCCAAGTTCTTAACTTTCAACTTTGTCTCCTCTTTTATCTTGATCATGGAATGTAAAAGAATCAACACAACAGAAAGATAAATCTGACTGACAGCTGATTTAAAAAAAAAAAAAATCTGACTGACATATGACAATAATGGGTCACAAAATGTTATCTACGTACTAAAAAATCTTGACATGAAATACAAGAAACAAACTGTCTTTTTCACTTGATCAGTGTCACAAAGAAAAAGTAAAAAGGGCGTCTGGAAGTGGAGTACTAACAACCATGGAAATGGAGGACTGCTGAGTGAATGTGGGCATGGAAAGGAAGGCTGTATAAAGCTAACCCAAAAGGGATAGAAGGAATCTATGTCTATTCCACTAACTCCCCTCCCCCTATCTCCGTGTGTCTGCGCTCTGTCTACGGCATAAACATTTATTATATTACTGCTGGTTTCAAGTATATACCGGAGATTAGTGTCAGCTGGATTTGAAAAACAAAAAAAAATGAAAAACTTCATAATTTTAATTAAGTACTATGAGAACAAATTAAAATAATTTTATTTTTATTTTAAAAATTAAATGGTTTTAGTTTTTTTTTAGTAAAATATTATTAAAATAATATAATTTTAAAATATTTATTAACTTAAT